CCTTTGAACATCCCTGGGAGTCAGGTTTCTACAGGAGAATATTAGCACAACTTTCCCAGATTGAGGCTGTGCTCGTAACCTACGTTTCATGACAGTTGAAGAATTCGCAGAAGGGAATGTACCGTTTTGATCAGGCCAATCTGCAAATTGCGGATTTTGTGAAAATCAGAGAGGGTGAAGGCTGCTAGAATGAGGTGTGCCTGATCCCTTTCGATACCCCACTTCATGGATGTCCGACTCTCCCTCCCAAAACGTTGGCTTTGTTTATGGTTTGTAATACGGTCTCGTAAATTGCTAATACTTGCAGGAGCCCTCTCTTCCGCAATTATCCCTAATCCATGCCCTGATGAATAGATGCTCGTTAAAGTCTTTTCCATGCAAAACAATTTTTGTATGTCAGCGATTAAAACCCTAATATGTTTCATACTTCTCTTTACAGAAAGTGGAATGAGCACTGTTTCACTCTCTGTCACCCTAGCATCGATTTCTCATCTAAATCTTGATGAGAACATGTTTGCTGAGTGGGACCAGGTACTTTTAGTAGCTGCTTTATTTTCCTTTCAGATACTTGCAGCATTTTCTATTTCATTCTGCTTTCAGTTTTGTAATATTACTCGAAGCTTGCCTTCACTGGAAGAGCTGTCACTAAACAATAATCAATTTACACATCTTACACAGTGCATCAGTGATCTGTCTGTGCATACGTTGAAGTTACGTGGAAATAAGGTGAATAGTATCATGATTAGATGTTTTTCAATCGTACTTTGTCATAATCTCAGTCTCTCAACGATTCATTGTTTGATCTTCAGATAGCTTCTATCAATGACACCTTGAATGAAGGCATTCGCGATGTCGATCTCTCCTGGAATTTACTTCAAAATGCAACTGGTATTCATGACCAAATGACAAGTTTAAGTGAGTGCCTAGCAATATTTTTGAATAGTGGGAGAGGTTCGAATTCTTCACTCAATTCCATTAACTTATCATGCATTGCTTATTTTGAGATTATGAGGATTCCTCAGTCAATTTTATTAACTTATCTTGCATTGCTTATTTTGAGATTATGAGGATTTGAATAGAATGAAATTCTTAGTT